GTGGCTCAGCCTGTAATCCCGCGCCTTTGGGAGGCTGAGGTGAGTGGATTGCCTGAGCCCGCGGGTTCCAGACCCACCTGGGCAGCGAGACCTCATCTCTACAATAAATAAAAAAATCAGCTGGGCGTGGTAGCACATGCCTGTAATTCCGGCTACTCAGAAGACTGAGGCGGAAGGATCGCCAGACCCCAGCAGGCAAGGCTGCGGTGGCCAGGAGCGGCCACTGCACTCCAGTCTGGGTGACCGAGTGAGACTCCAACTCAAAAAGAAAAAAAAAAAAGTAAGAGATTTTCCCCTACAGTTGCATATTAAGTAGATAAACCTATATCTTGCAGGTGGGTCCCCAACACCTGTTATGGACAGGTATAGGGCAGTATCCATCCCTGATGTTGTTTTCACAGGTGATATCAGCAAAAGAAGCACCATGTAGTCAGTTACTCCCTAAGTGGAGTGTTTCCAATTCAAAGATCTATGTTTTGTTCTTAGATTATCTCCTTTCTACTACTTTGGCATTGAGATGGTCTTTTTATAAAATTTTGCTGGTGAATTTTAGAGTTATTTTTGTTTGTTTTGTTTTTTTGAGAAAGCAGGATTTATTGACAGGACAGAAAAGGTCCCACAGTGGGAGGGGATCCAAGGGGTTGCCCTAGAGTTTTAAAAATGTCCCATCTCGGCAACAAAACAAAATAACTGGGAGCCCTAGGTCAATCCCACCAAAGCACTTTTGAAGGGGTTACTTTCTTGGTCCAGGCAATTTCCATTTGAGAACCACTGAGGATAGCATTCTCTGAGCCAAGGAATTTAGAGTCAATCCGTTCTCATCTACATATCAAAATGGTGATTTGGCAACAAACAACCGACAGAAAATTGGAGTCTAATTTTAATTAATACAGGGGAGGGGTTGAAAAATATATGGTCTTTAAAGTTCCTGGTCCCTCTGGAACCGTTTCCTCTTGCTGCATCCTACACGGTCTATCCCACCGTGCTCAAAGCTGCTTCCTCCTGGTTTGAACACAGGTGATATAGCTTTGGGGGGCCCTGCTCTCCCTACCATTAATCTGGGAACCCCATATCAAAACACTTGAGATTCTGAAAGTTCAGCCCTATGGCATGAGCACTTTAGAAAATGATCCACCACATTCTGACAGCTGAAATTCTATGGAAATAAATGCCTGATACTCGTGTCATACTATCGCAACATCTCACTCAACCCAGATGACCCTAAAACCCACCGATCCAGGAAAGCCTGACTATGTGGATAGTTTGGGAAACCAAAATCAAGGAGGTCACTCATCCTTCCAATCTCCAAACTGAGAATAAAGGAAGAAAATTAGATGGGAGAGGCCATGATATGTCATCAACTTAGATTTTTCAACTAAGAACATTTAACATGTTGCTATACATTTTTTTCCTAGAGATTATACCTATTTTTAACTTAATTGCATGCTACTCAAACTGTTCTATATTTAGGCTTCTCCCTAAATTAATTCTAATAAAAAAAAACACTTCAGTAAAAAAAAAATCCACAAACACTAAATATTTTAATACCTTTATTTACCTCATCTCTAACAGAACTAATCAGTGGCAGATAATATATTTGTTGTGAAGGGAGTTAATTTCCTAGATTAAACATGTATATGAACACATAAAGGTGACAATATTTGAGGATATATGATACTAATAAAGGTAGCATTTATTGGGCCAGCCACTGGGCTAAGCACTTGACTTGGATCACCTCAGTTAATCCTTATAGCAAACCCATCAAGTAGTTGCTATTCTTACTTCAATTTTATAGATGAGGTTATAAATGAGGAATCTTATTACTATAATTTAATCTCCACCAACCCAGAGTTTGAGTTCAGCGTTTACTCTGGCTATAAAAAGGTTGAATAAGCAAATTAGAAATTAAACAGGATTGCAGAAGGCATATTTAACCTACTAGAAGGTCCGACATTTTAAGACAGAGAAACAGATGCTAATTGGTTCCAGAAGGATCCGTTTGGGCAGATTCTGCCTAAAACTTCCGCTATATGAAAACACTTTAAAATTCAGATTTTACTAGTGAAGAGTGGGCTTCCTGTCACTATCATCCCAATCGTTAGTCCAAATGAGTAAAGTTTTACTCAATTTGAAGATGAGATGTCAGTGGCATAGTGGGTCAGCGGTTGTTCCCAATATCCATTTTCCTCCTCCCCCTAGAGCTCTACACACCTGTGTCAGCCCCACACTTCCCCTGCCCCCCAGGGCGGAAGCCAGCCTGAGGATGAATGGACATGGGAAAGAATGAACAGAGATGGGGGGGAACCAGGTGGTTTAGGATACTGTGGAGCTGCTGGTTTACACTTATCCTGCAGTCCACCTTATCCCTCCCTATTTGCAGATACATGAGCGGATTAATCCCCTGTGTTGTGAGAGCCCCTTCGGGTTTGGTTTTCTGGTATTTACAACCTGAAAGCATCCAAACGGATCCATGTAAAACTAGAGCTCTCTGTGGTCTGAAGGTTTGTATCCTCCCAAGATTCTTATGTTGAAATCCTAACCTCCAAGGTAATAGTATTAGGGGTGGGGCTTTTGGGAGGCAATGAGGTCTTGAGGGCAAAGTCCTCAAGAGTAGTGACCTTTTATACAAGAGGCCTGAGAAACGCTCCTGGTTCCCTCTGCCATGTGAGAACACAACAAGAAGTTGTCAGTCTGCGAGCTGGAGGAAGCCCTCACCAGAATCTGATCATGCCGGCATCCTCATCTCCATGTCCAGCTTCCAGAATTGTGAGAAATACATTTTAGTTGTTTATAAACCCCTTGTCTACGGCATTCTGTTATCACATTCTGTTATCACAGCCCGAGCCCGAGTGGACTAAGAGAAATGCGGATCCACTGGCTTTTCCTGGCACTTGGTTACATTTGGCTTTACACTGACTGGTTCTTAACTGTTTCAAATGTTTTGTGTTGTTAATTTCTGAGGATGTAACAACAGACTTTCAAGAAACACTTTAATGAATGAATGCATAACCTTGGGCAAGTCACTTGCCTTCCCTGGGTCTTTTCAACTGTAAAAAGAATGGGGCAACCCCTTGGGGTCCCCTCCCACTGTGGGAGCTTTTCTGTGCTCTCAATAAATCCTGCTTTAAAACAAAAGATTGAGGGGCTGGCAGGGTGGCTTACACCTGTAATCCCAACACTTTGGGAGGTCATGGCAGGAGGATCACTTGAGTCCAGGAGTTTGAGACTAGCCTGGGCAACATAGCAAGACCGTCTCTACAAAAATAAAAAATATTAGTCAGGCATGGTGGTGGCATGGGCCTATAGTCCCAGCTACTCAGTAGGATGAGGTAGAATGATCACCTAAGCCCAGGAAGCCAAGGCTGCGGTGAGCCTGGGTGACAGAATGAGACCCCATCAAACAAAAGCTCCAAAACAACGGCAACAACAAAAATAAAAAGGATGAGGATTTCTGCTGCTTCTACCAGCCTGCAAAGCCAACGGTTCTATGCAGCTGACCTCATAATGCAAAGTTTTACTCACTCAAACAAATACAAAGCCCTCTTTTGATTCCAAAGTAGAACCATCCCTTAGAATCCAAGTGACCTGCCTCAGCTCTGTCAGACCGGTGCTCTGTAGATCTGCCCTCCATCCTCCTCCCCTCAGCTCTGCCCCTTAGAGGCTCTGCTCTCTGTGGACAGCATCCATTGCCTCCCTTGCCTTCCGGCTCTGGCTGAGTCGGCCTGATGGAAGCACCGGCATCGGGAGATGGATCTGAGAGGGAAGGTCCATGAGGATATTGATTCTCTTGGCTCTATCCCAGCCATGCTGCTGTAGGTTGACTGCATGCCTCTACCAGAAACAACCTCCTCTGCTTCTGTTTCCCATCCTGATAACCCGTCCCTCCATCTTCCTTTTAGGCCTAGTCATAGCTCCTGCCATCGCTGGCCCCGGAGATGCTTCAGCATTCTTTGATCATTTCTTTTTTTTCTTTATTAAAAAAAGTGTTAAAAAAAAATAGACATGGGGTCTTGCTATGTTGCCCAGGCTGGTCTCAAACTCCTGGACTCAAGTGATCCTCCCACCATGGCCTCCCAAAGTGCTAGGATTATAGGTGTGAGCCACTGCACCTGGTCCTTTGCTCATTTCTCTGACCTCGGTCTGCACCCTTATAACTAGTTTCTTCAGTAGACTCTCTTTGATTGCCCCATTTGAGTGAGCCATCTGTTTCTGACTGGCCCTCCAGGACATAATGGCTTAAACAGATCAAAATCAGGCCCAATAAAAAGGAAACCAAAGCAATCAATTCTTAGTCCCACATAAGAGGAATGGAAAGTGTGGCACATTCCCAGAAAGCAAAACCACACACACTGAAATAATCGAATCGACACCACCACCAGCCTTCCCCACCGTCACCAAGAATGTGTGGAAAAGAACCATCTCCTGCTAGAACAGGATGTACACCTAAAACAAAAATTTCTAATTATATTTACACACAAATCTTGAGGGCTGGCAGAAGAAGCACAGCTGTGTACCCATTTTCTAGAAGGACAAACTGAGTAAGGACGAGATCATAGGGCCAGAGCCGACAAAAACACTAGAAATGCCGCAGGGCCAGCTAAGGCTCTTTAGTCCAGGAATTGGCCTCTGGCAGGTTCTCGGAGTTTCTCACAGTGGCCTTCTATGCAATAGTTCTCCAGAGATGCATCCCACCATTTTTAATTCCTTCTAAACACTTCTGGGGTTGCCATCCACAAACAGCCATCGAATCCTTAACTATCCGCAACAACTCAAGCAAGACAGGACAGGATGGCCCCACCCCCTCCAGGTGAGGTTGAAAACTAAAATGTGGATCCACCATCACCGACCATTTTCCAGTATAAGTTTCCTAGAAATCTATGGGTGTCCAGACCCACTCCTCCCCTTCTTAAGGCGTTCTCCACACCACAGGGGTCAAAGAAACGGTCTTATGACCCTTTTGTCATGAAATGTTCCAATATCGAGAATTTCCAAGAAGCTACCTGTTTCGGGATTAAGAGGCTTAATCTTTCAAGGTCGTCCTGCTTCGGTGTCTTCTTCCTTCAGCATCCTCCACAGCCAGGGCCTGCAGGAGTGACCCAAAGAGCACATTCAGGATGCTTGGCCCCCACATGGAAATGGGCAGTAGCAACTGAGGAGAGACTGGAGAACTGACCAAGGATGGAGCCCTGAAGAACCCAATGGCTCGTGGAGGAGGACCCAGCAGAGGCTGCTGAGAAAGGTCCCGAGGGAGCAGAGGATTTAGAAGAGAAAGACATCCAACTCCACTCCCCGAGCAATTCAGGCTCTTTCCCTCACATCCCACGTCTAGTCCATCAGAAAATGATGTCAGCTTTAAACTGAAAATTATCCCCAGACTCCACAGCTCCATCACCTCCACTGCTACCACTTTGGTCCAAGCTCACAGCATTCCCTCACGAGGTTAGTGCAATAACCCCCTAGCTAGTCTCTCCACTCCTACACTTACCTTTCTATAATCCTGGCTTAGGTGCTGAATTGTGTCTCCCCAAGATGCCTGTGTTGAAGTCCTAATCTCTCATATCTCAGAATGAGACATATTTGGAAACAGGGTCATTGCAGATACCGGGGCATACTAAAGGAAGGTGGGTCCCTAATCCAATACGACTGTAGTCCTTATATAAAGGGGACATTTGGACACAGGCATACAAAGGGAGAACACCATGTGATGATCAGAGGTGTTCTATCACAAGCCAGGGAACTTCCAGGAGCTAGGATTGAGACCTGGAATAGTTCCTTCCCTTGAGTCTTCAGAGGTAATATTGCCCTGCTAACACCTTGAACTTGGACTTTTGGCTTTCAGACTTATAAGACAATAAATCTCTGTTGTTCAAGCCACCTAGTTTGCCCAAGCAAACTAATACACCATGCTCCCCCGAGTAGCCTAAGTGACCACTTAAAAATCACTTTTCAGCTCGAAATCCTCCGATCATATTTCATCTCTCTCTGATTGAAAGCCTAAGTCCTTGAAAGGCCTACAAGGTTCACACAACTTGGCTGAGCCTCTGCCCTGATGAACTAAGACACCTGACCTCTTTTCCTACTGCTCTGGCCTTTCTTAATTTCCTTCTGCTACAATGTCTGCCTCTAATACCCCAAGCTGGCTCCTGCCTCAGGTCCTCTGCACTTGTTCCTCCCCTCTGCCTGGAACACTCATCCCCTTCAGGTATCTGCTCTAATGTCCTTTTCAGTGAGGCAAACCCCTCCTCCTCCCACCCCAGCACCCTTTCTGTCTCCCTTCCCTGTAGTACTTTTCTTTGTAGCCTTTATCACCACGTGACGCAATTTTTTTTAACCCTCTTCTCTCCCACTAGACTGTGAACTCCTTGAGAGCAGGGACATGGTATTATGGCATGCCCCAGAGCCTGGCACATAGTAGGTGCGCAAGAAATAGTGGTGGAAAGGTTTATTGTAGAATCAAAGAAGCCCAGAGAAAAGAGCATTGCAAGAAGGAGGAAGTTGTCCACAGTGTCACAAGTAGCAAAGAGCCCAGAGAGATAAGGACCGAAGTGTCCGTTGGGTATGGCAACATGGAAGCCGCAGGTGACCTGAGAGAGGGCAGTTCCTGAGGAAGGTGGGAGCCCTCTGCAGCAAAGCTCACCAAGCCTCTGCCCTGAGCCGGACAAATTCCTCACCGGGCTATGTCAGCGAGGGTAGATTCTTTCCAGATGTCCATCATGAGAGGAGGAGAAAAGAAGATGTGAGGTAGAGAAGGATAAGGGTTTGAGGAAACATTGAAGGGTGGGGTCCCAGGGACTGCAGGAAGCAGGGGGACCCCTGGACTAATAGAGGCTTCTCTCTGGCCAGGAGGAAAGACATTTCTTTTTTTGAAAGAAACCAAGTAGAAATGAGTCCAGATACAGGTCAATGCACAGGAAGGGAGGCAGGTACCGTTGAGCAATTCTTAGTGAATAAAAGAGCCAAGTTGTTCAAGACCAGCCTGGGCAACAGTGAGACCCCATATATGGTTGTGTATATATATATTTTTTTTCATTTTTTTTTGAGTTGGAGTGTCACTCTGTTGCCCAGACTGCAGTGCAGTGGCACGCTCATAGTCACCCCAGCATCAACCGGCTGGGCTCTGGCGAACCTTCCCCCTCAACCTTCCACGTAGTGGGGACTACAGGTGTGTGCTACCACACCCGGCTAATTTTTGATTTATTGTAGAGACGAGGTCTCACCAAGTTGCCCAGGCGGGTCTCGAACCCACAGGCTCAGGCAATCCACTTGCCTCGGCCTCCCAAAGTGCTGGGATTACAGGCTGAGCCGCTGAGCCTGGTCTATTTTTTTTTTTTTTTTTAATTAGCTGAGTGTGGTGGCATGCACCTGTAACATTAGCTACTAAGAAGGCTGAGTTTAGAAGATTGCTTGAACCTGGGAGTTTGAGGCTAAAGTAGGTTATGATCACACCACTGTCGCAGAAAAAAAAAAAAAAAACGAAGCCAGATTGTCTCCTGGGTAAGGAAAGGCGGACAGGAAAGGGTGTGCAATGGAGGTGGGGCTGGTGGGGCATGTCCCACTGTGGGGTATCATGCAAGTGCAGGCGTGGCCCTAAAACTGAGCACCTCCTTGAATGTGTGCCCTGGGTGCCTTACTTGTCCCAGTCTAGTCCCTGATGGGAGAGACGGCTGGCTGCTGACCAACATCACTAAGGGTCCTGCTGAAACTAGAGGCCATGGTTTCGAGAGACACAATCTGCGTGGCTGTGAGGTGTTTTGTGACAGCCCTTAGTAGCCAGGGCTTAGGAGAAGGGTGTTCTTAAAACTGAAGTCAAAGACCTCCATACAACTCCATCCCATTTTCGTGAAGGCTTCCTCATTCTCCTGGGCTCCCAGATTCAAAATATCTTACTCCACTCTCCCAACTCTTCCCAGTCAATCACAAACTCATGCCCTTTACCCTATTTGTTGGACATCGACTAAGTGCTGGGTGTGCTACAAGTTAGAATTCTCACACAGCAGTTCTGTGAAGTGTTTTCAGCCTCTGTTTTTTATTTGTTAAGAGATGAGGTCTTGCTATGTTTCCCAGGCTGGTCTTGAACTCCTCGACTCAAAGCAATCCTGTCTCGGCCTTCCAAAGTGTTGGGATTACAGGCATGAGTCATAACCTGCCTAGCCTTTATTTATGGAGGACAAAACGGAGGTTCAAAGAGATTAAGTAACTTGCTCCAGGTCTCAGGTAGCAAGTGGCAGAGCTGAGATCTGAAACCTCCCACTTCTCTTGTCTTCTTTCCTGAACATGCTATTAACACCCTAGTCTAAGTCCTCAACGTTTCATTTGTAAAATTCAACATGATAAATGTCTTCTAACTTACTTCCCAGCACTGCCCACTCACAGTCCACAAATGCAGACTGATCTTGTCAGGCGTTTGTTTTTGCCTATCCCCATGCCATTCCATTGGCTTCAGAGACCCCTGATATGAGAATTCTGAACTCCACCACCATCCCCAGGATCCTTCCTGTATGACGCACATGTCCTTCTTGGATCATGTTTCCCACACACAAGATTTGCCACCCTTGCATACACTTTGACAGACACAGACAGATACACTCTCTTCTTCTTCAAGAGAAGAGTTTGAAACGTGAGCAATCCAGTTCACAGTGACCCGCAGAATAGTCAGGCTGGGCACAGACGTAGGAAAAAGAACATTCTATTTCTGGGAAGTCAGGGGTTGGACAAATCCCCTTTGATCATCACCTACAGATCATCACCCAACAGTTCTGGTATTCCCAGAGCCACAGGGGGAGGATGGCTGGGAGAGGTGACATCAACTCAAGGGCCATCAAATCGCCCCAAACAGACAGAAGGGCAGACCTGGATAACAAGAGGCCGAGAGAGAACTATGGGCTCAAGGGGATACTGTCTGCCAAGATGCCCGGTAAGAAATCAAGTTCTACCTGGACCAGCAGGCCCAGAGGGACAGTATGATCCTCAGGACTTAGCTGAAGTGACAGGAGCTCTGGGATGAAATCTTGACCTTACCACCAAGTTCAGCCTTAACCTCTCTGAGTCTGGTCCTGCATGAGCTCATGTGACGCTTGAATCAAACCAGAAGTATATGAGAGCATTGAGCAAAGTGCCTGGCATTACATAAGGGGCCCACTCAGTGCTGCTCCCTCCTCCCTTCCAGCCTTCAGACCTCACAGCGCTCTCCGCCCTCACTAACAGAAACAACTACAGGAGCTACAGAGCCTTTCTCAGCGAGAAGGTTTGCAAAGAAAGATGGCAAGAGTCAGCAAGAGAACAAACGGGAAAAGCGCTGGACCCGGTGAACGCTCGGGTTTCAAAACACACAAGCCTTCGAGCCTCTGATCATACCTAAACAGGAAGTTTGTGACAGACTTAGAAAACATGCACGCACAACTGCAGGAGGCTGCACACTACTCAGAAAAGATCAAATCCAGCCCCTTCTGGAGGGAGGAACAGAAGGAGTGCGCCTAGCCGATGTCCCAAATGTAACAAGCATTTCCCAGGGGTCAGGATGCACCCCTGCCCCGGGTTTCTCCTCACCCTGGGCACCGGAGGGATCTGGGTCAAAATGTGTGGAGCTGCTCTGGTTTCCAAAGCCAGGATGTGTCCAGTCCTTCCCACGCCTCCTTCTCATGCCTACTCCCTCAGGTGACAAGGACAGCAAGCACTCCAAAAGTCCTTGGGGGGTCTGGATGACTTAGGTGTGTGGGATCATTTTTCAGCTGGAAGATCTGAGCACAGAAAGGGGAAGTGACACAGAGCTCCCACAGAGCTCCTGGCCTCGATCTGATCTCCATCTGGCTGTCCCCCCAGTGCATGTTTCATCAGGCCCCACAGCCCTCCACAGTGGGGTCCTCAGGATGTCATTTTTTCTTCTCTAAAAGCCTGCCTTTCCAGGTGCAGTGGCTCACGCCTGTAATCCCAGCACTTTGGGAGGCTGAGGCAGGAGGCTCACTTGAGCCCAGGAGTTCGAGATCAGCCTGGCCTCGTCTCTACCAAAATAAAAAAAATAACATAAATTAGCCAGGTGTGGTGGCATGTGCCTGTTGTCCCAGCTACTTGGAAGGCTGAGGCAGA